TTGACTCGTCGGACATGATGATGGCTCACAAAGGGGACTTGTGAGAAACGAAATCTTCAAACCCTAACACGGGCCGAGGTTACATTTGATACCATAAAGATAAGTAGAATGCGGAAGAACAAGAACACACAACACACTATTTATATAGTATCCTTGTTCGGAATAAACATGACTAATCCACAGTGAGATCGTAAGAGCTCATGACTTAAGATTTCATTAAGAGATTTATAAGAGATTGCAAGAGTGGGCCTGGATCGCCGAGTTCCTGTTGTGGAAATTGTTCACGTTTACTATTTTCTTGTAGAACAAGTAACAAATTAAGATCATGTAATCAACAGAAGAAACATATAAGATCACGAAATCATGCAAATACATATGCAAGCGTCCTAGCCGACATAATTCACTGTCTCTCCTTATGGAATTTTATTCCCCTCTAGTACCCAAGGTTATGGAATGATTCCTCCCAGGATAGAAAGGACATACCTTTTCCAGTGTAGCGATACCTCAAACCTCGGAAATCATCGAACGCAGCAAACCGGCGAGAACCACACTTGACTCAATTTTTCTCTTTGAAATGAATGTAGAAAACTAGTTTTGGATTTTAGCAGAGTTTTGGTACCGGAAAAACGTGTGTATTTCTCGTTTTCAACTAGAGGGGGTACGGTGCTATTTATAGAAAATAAAGGGTGTGTACAAAGGGAGACAACTCTTTGTATGGGTGGTTACACCCCAACCATTGATTGGTTCATTTTAAATACTTCAACCATTGCATTGGTTCGGCACATAAAAGTTGGACCGGTTTGGTTATTCCAACGCCACATCAGTTCGGTTCGATTTGGTTCAACTCAGTTTGGTCTGGTTGGTTACACAAACCAATATTACTGATTACCAACATATTTCATCAAATCAATAGAATTCGCGGCCACGCCTTCCCACAACTTACCAACATGATACTTCAAGAGATTCTCTTGGATATTTCTCTTTTCATTTCTATTCACACCATTAAAAATCCCAACAGTTCCCTATACGACGAGGAGACAAGACTTTGACAGTCGAGTGACTTACTACAATTAAGACACAATTACTTGCTGCAAAGTAACTCAAGTAACCGTAACACTCTCATTCCTTAAAATTGTATAACTACATGAAATTGTAACATGAGATTCAGCCAACACTAAGGAGACATGATATGTTCTATAGGCTCGTATGTACGTGGGCACCGGGCCGTGCCGCCCACGGGCTAGCACGGCACGGCACTGTTATAGCACGGCACGAGCACGGGCACGAAATAAATGGGCCAGCCCGGCACGAGCACGAATAATTTATGGGCCGTGCCGGGCCTAAACTTCATGGGCACGGGCACGAGCACGGGCACGGTATATAAGTGGGCCGTGTAGGGCCTAATATTTTCGAGACTTTATTGAGTATAAGAACGGACAGGGCACGAAATTAATGTTTATTTCATAGAAAATAAGTATTAAAAGAATTATAGGTTCAAATATTACAAAACACAAGTAGAAAAATAATTATTTGTTGTTGTTAGAAGTGTCATAAAGATATATAGGTAATTACTAACATAAGTAAAAATGGACAAAGAATTAAACAAAGCCATATCACACTCGCTATACTTTCAATTTTCTTTTCCCCCCTATTTGTTACTTTTCTCAAACATTATCGGTTAATACTATCTTCCCCCGTCCAATTTTCACCTTCTTTTTCATTCTCTCTTTTGTTTTCGTCCTTTTCATTAAACACGAATACGAGCATGGCACGAGCACGAATAGGCACGGCACAAATCGAATAGTGCCCGGGCCTGGGTCGGGCCTAGCAAAGTTGACAAATGGGCTTGCATGGCACGGCACGAAAACTGACGGGCCGTGCCAAGCACGGCACGAAATAAATGGGCCTGAAGCGTGCCTGTGCCGTGCCGGCCCAAGCACGGCCCAGCGCCCATGTACAGGCTCGTACCTCTGTGTCCTTCCATACTAAGGAGACAGGATTCAGTGAACACAAAAGCAACCGCCAATAGCATAAAGAGTGAATAGTTAATTGCTTAATTTTATTGGGAGAGAATAGCTAGTATTATGAATCTAACCCCGACTTAGTACCAACTACTACCAAGTCGCCTGATTATGATTATGATCTGATCTGATGTGGAGGTTGTCGGGTTATTTTCCTAATTTTTATATAGTAATTATTGTTTGATCAATATCTTAGCTAGTTTATATACTAATCAATTATTTGAGCACACATAACAGGCTATCTTTTTCCATGGATGACATTGTGAAAACAAGGTCGTTTTCATCAGTTGTTTGTTGCTTCGCCTAGCCAAATTGCTTTTCCTGACCATTCACTACTAGGGATGGCAACAAAACCCGAACCCACGGGTACCCATCCGACCCAACCCGGTAAACGCGGGTAAAATCCGTGTTGACGGATTTTGGACCGGATTTGGGTTTAAACCCGTTCACTATTCACCGGGTTGGGTTGGGTTTGGGTTTAGGTAAACCCGGCCCGTGGGTACCCGCCCACTCATATAATTAATTATTTCGGTATATTTAATATTCTAAACAATTATTCTTATTTATGTTTGTGGAGACATGTCTAATTTTTTCTTTTTAATTGTGTAGAATGAAGTTGATGTTATGGAGTGGAGAGTAAAGAAACTTAATTGAAAGAAAGAAGCTTTCAATTAAACATGTTATTTATGGATAATTTGTGATTTGCTTCAATTTTCTTGAGTTTTCTAGATTGGTGTTGAACAATTTGTATAGTTAATTTGTGATTTGCTTGAATTTTCTAGAATGGTGTTTTATATATGGATAATTTGTATTGAGAGATTGATATTTGACTTTAATTTTCATAAGAACTTGTAATTGTAAATTTTTTACGACAAAACCCGTGGGTACCCATGAACCCGCGGATACCCAACGGGTTGGGTTGGGTTTGAGTTTTTCAAACCCAATGGGTTTTACCCCGGGTTTTTTTCAAAGATAAACCCATGGGTTTGGGTTTGGCAAAACCCGACCCAACCCGACCCATTGCCATCCCTATTCACTACAAGGAAAATGGGGCTGGGATCAGGTGACTAAGGGGGGTCCCCTTAGTCACATGGTTAAGTGAATCTCAGTCACACAACTTCATTAAAATCCAATGGCTCCTATTAATCCAATTTAATGAAGGGTAATGTAGTAATTGTATGTTTATTTTTTATATTTAATTATAAAATGAATAAAAAAATTAAACAGCCCCGGCCGCAACCTCCCGTCTCCGTCCGGTTGTTCGGCGGTGGCTCTCCTCTGGGCAGGAGGGTTTCCCCACCTCTCTCATGCGCCATTATTTCTGTAATTATTCCCAGAGGGAGAATGAATTTCCCATTGTTTGGCGGCAGGGATGGGAATTGTTTGGCGGGAGAGAGAGTGAATTTCCCATTGTTTGGCGGCAGGGATGGCAATTGTTTGGAGAGAGAGAGAGAGAGAGAGAGAGGGAGAGGGAGAGAGAGAGAGAGAGGGAGAGGGAGAGAGAGAGAGATTTTCTTGTCGTAAATTTTTTTCGGTCGAACATCGTCGTCGGAGAAGAATTTCCCGGCGACAGTGCTGATTTTGTGATGTTTGTTGACATATTTTGTAATGTTTGTATGTTTTGTTATTTTGTAATGTTTGTCGATTTTTTTTTGTAATGTTTGTAAACTTTGTTATTTTTGTGCACCATGTTTGTAAACTTTGTCATTTTTGTGCACCATGTTCGTAATGTTTTTTATGTCTAAAAAACACCCGGGTTGACTTTGGGAAGGAGCCCCTCTATATAGGGATGGAGCCTCCAAAGTCAACCCGGGTGTTTTTTTCCCGTTCGTATGGATTGTCGGTCTAGTTTGTCATTTTTGTCCACCATGTTCGTACTGTTTGTATGTCTAAAAAACACCCGGGTTGACTTTGGGAAGGAGCCCCTCTATATAGGGATGGAGCCTCCAAAGTCAACCCGGTTGTTTTTTCTTTTTGTATGGTTTGTATTGTTTGTCGGTCTAGTTTGTATTGTTTGTACAGTTCATACGTTTGTAATGTTTGTAAATCTGTTTGTATGTTTTGTCGCTCTAGTTTGTACTGTTCGTATGTTTGTATGGTTTGTACAGATTGTAAATCCAGTTTGTATACTTTGTAATTTTCCATAATACCCAAACTACCCCTGTCATTAATTAAATAGCCCTTCCCACTTTTTAACCATTGGATTGAAGTGTCCAGATCTAATGGCTAGGAGGGACTTAGCCAAGTGACTAAGCACCCCCCTTAGTCACCAGATCCGCTCTCAGGAAAATGGCCTATGCCAAGGGTTTGATAGCAAAGGTACCGAAACCGCTGCTAAGATTTGCGGAATTAATTGTAGCAAGGGTTAGTTGTAAGGGTTCAGAAACCCGTTGTAGCCTTAAACTAAATCTAATTGCGTACTCTTTTCAATATATACTAGGTGGGTTCGTGCCGCGCTCCGCTGCTGCTTTAGTAATGTTTTTCAATTGTTATTTGCTAACCCGTGCATTATGTTAATTGGTTTTTTTGTTCTCTTCCTTTTGCTGTTTCAGTTTGCTAGTAATAATGACAGCAAAGGAAATATAAGAGTACATAACTCTAAGAAACTTCAGCATCTTTATACACTCGATAATCTTATCAATGGTTTTATATTAAACAATTTATACTAAACTACCCAACCTTCTAATCAAGCTGCAACCAAAGAAATTTGCAGTAAATCTCGCTTGCTTCTTGAGATTAAGTTCCTTTAATCTAAATATAGTTATGCTCCATCATTATCTACATCTTCCAGTTGGCTTTCTTTTGGAGAGATAGTGATGATCCTACTAACTACTATAAACATCTACAGAGTAATGTGTGGAAAGCATAATCAGAAGGACCCTTGCAACCTACAACTTTTGATTTATACAGCAGCGTCCATGATGAAAGTTTGGTTGCAAATGCATTTGGTATCTATGTATCTTTACACAATACCTATATGCTTCATTGTTCTACTTTGCCAAACCCAAATATCGAACACGTAAATTGTAGACCATTAACAATAATAAATATGATAAAATAATAATTTTTTCTTATCAATTTTACAGTTCCTTCATCAATGCTGAAACCCAAAGCCAATGGGGTCTCTACTTTGGCAACAGATCGCCTCAGTCCAGATAAAGGAGACTGTTCTTTCTCCAACTCCCAGCCATTAACATCTTAGAAGGCTGCCCCTCACAATAATCCAAACTCAAAAGTCTAAAATACAGCGAACAACTTACCATCACCAGGACTCTTCATATGGGAGATGAAGAGAGTCCCCCACCCTCCCCTACACTACAACCTCCTCTGCTTTACATGAATCTGGTACCATCTTCCGCATACCTCCTTGGACTTGGCTGCCACAAACCAAAACCAAAAAAGGAAAATATAGAGCCAGATTCGTATATTGGTTAGTTATGAATTTACAACAGCACCTTTAAGGCTTTAATTAATAGCCTTCCAACCATCCCACTTGTAACAGAGCATCCTAGTCACTACACTTCGTCTTAAAAATCAAATTGTCGATTTGTATTTTGGTTATAATTGGTCACTTTCAATTAAGTACATGAGTAAGGAAGAGAAAGGAATCATGCATACCTGGGCTTTCCTCTACTTGGTCTCTCAATCAACCCTTCTGATTTCTTCACCTATTTGTTCTTCTTCCCTGCCGCAAAGCAAAAAAACTGAAAATCATAGTTCATCTCAGACCCAACGCGATTCATTATGAAAGGGGAGATAGATATAGAGAGGAGATCGAAATTTATATATGGAGGTGGAGAAGGTCGGTCGCGCTGTTAACAATTCTCGGAAACAAGATCTAAAACTGCAACACCCCATCCCCATGTGGCAAGCAAAGAGAAGAAATTGACCCCTTGTTCCCACTGAAACCTCAACGATATTGTCTTCAGAATGTCCCTTCTTCACCGCTGACTGATGTTTGCCACTGCCATCGGGCTTCTCCGCTTTCGTCTTCAGTTTCCCATCCACTGACGTCTTTCCTGCGTCCCTCCCTGTCATAAAAGCTACCTCGCTCCGATCTTGACTGGTTGCTCCTTTGTCCCTCGCCGCTGCTCCAAAGTCCTCAATAGAAAGCGGTGAACAAATCATCTTTCCTGGCTGTAAGGTTAGGGGTTTTGATTTAAAAGGAAGGAGAATATCGAAAAAAGAAGGAGATCGGAGAAAGATCGGAAGAAACTACCGTAATTGCAAGGCGGTGATTAATTTGGATGGAAATCAGGAGATAAGTGGGGGGACATGTCAACTAGTGATGGCAATTTCAACCCGCCCCGCGGGTATTACCCGACCTGACCCGCGATGGGGCGGGTATTACCCGACCCGCAGTAGCGTGGGGCGGGGCATGGGTATCTACTTTCGCCCCGCCCTGCCCCGCCCCGCCCCGTTCTAGACTCATTTTATCTCAATTTCTTACAATATCTATACATATTTATCCTATTTTGACTTTTCTTCAACTAGTTAGAGTTGATTTTTCAACTTGTTAGGCTCAATTATCCATTCTATTATCAATATTTTTCATTCTTAAAGTGTTTTCCCCTACGTTTTATTGTAAAAAGTAAAATTTACTTGTATTTTTTTGAACAACATGTAAGAGTGGGTCGACCCGCCCCGCCCCGTTCACGCGCGGGTTTTACCCGCCCCGACCCGTAGTAGCGTGGGGCGGGGCATGGGAATTGAGGTACCCGCCCTGCCCCGCCCCATTGCCATGACTAATGTCAACGTCAAACTCTTCTGCTCTCTACCACAGTAGCAACGCGTTGATGAAGGCCTCGTTGGTCACCAAAGATAATGAAAGTCGCTCATGTTAGTAAAACTCTTATGCAACAGTGATCTACACATCTTATCTTATCTTACTATATATTATGGTTGTTCAAAAACAACTTCTTGCCACATAAGCACTTGGAGAATTCACAAGTTACCAAGGTGGACAATTATTGTACAAACAAAAAAATTAGTTAATGAGCTATTTATGGAGTTATCTCTCTTCTTTTAATGGTGTTTTCTTTTATTCAAAAAATTCTTTTTAATTTTCATAATATATCTATGTTTGTAGAAAAGGACTAATGTTTATAGAGTGATATATCACATTTAGTTAAACAAAAAATATATTATTAAACTTGATCAATTAAATTTTCTACTGTTTTTACTTAAAGTAAATAATAAGTTATATGTTATTGAAAATTTTCAACAAACACACACATAAACAATAATATTTTCATCGATTAAACAAAATATAAAGATGAAAATAGAGAAAATAACTGTTAGAAAATCAATCTACTTTCAAAAATGAACTACGTTATTATATATTTTTCGCTATTAAACACTCTCTTATTTAGAGATGGCAACCAACCCCATGGTCGCAGGTACCCAACCGTCTCCGACCCAGTCAATACGGGGAATCTCCGCATTGATTGGGTATGGGGAAAACCCGCAAATTTTTTGATGGAGATGGGCGGATATGCTTTTGAAATCCCCATCCCCATACCCAAACCCCCCCCCCCCCCCCAGGATATTATGTTATATGCATAAAATATAACATCCACTTATGTAATTGATGGCAACCAAACTTATGTAATTTCATCCACTTATGTATCAGTTCCATAATTTTGAGCAGGTAGTACCCATATTTTTTACATATTTTTTATGGTGGGTAGCTGATGGGGTGGGTATTACCCATGGCCATGAGTATCCGAAAACCGCGGGTATGGAGATGAGTTTGTAAAACCTTCCACCGTATGGGTATGGGGCGGGTATGAATTTAGGTATTTGAAAATGGGGATGGTGATGGTTTAGGCAAACCCGCCCCATTGTCATCCCTTCTCTTATTTCTAATTAATATATCTATAAAATAAGTATTATATAGTAAAAGGTCTGGATAGAAACTTGATGATGTACACGTATTATATGACATGTGAGTGTTAGAGAAATCTTTGTTGACGATCTACGATAAACATTATGTTTCATCAACCACTGACCTAGCATTAATCAAACATGGGTTGACAATTTTCCTTTAATAGTTGAATGTTTTCTACATTAAAGGCCTTATAGTTAGAAGACTCTAAACCGAGCTATTAGGTTAAAAATGAAGAATCTTTATAAGCATGAGGTCAACAAGGCAATTCTAATAAGCCATTTGGTTGCATGGTTATGAGTATGTGAATCCATACCAAATTTTGGCAATAAAAAAAGATTTTACCATATCAAAATGTCAAAACAAAAATGTTAGTTTGTAACCGTAAGCAAAATGTATATAGATCGAGTTATCCTATCCACAAAATTTTGTTGCGTATTCCATTGAACGAGGTGTGTTCAAAGGTCTTAATTAGGGTTACAAAACAAAGTAACCTCTTTATATACGTTTTGGATATTAACAATAGATGTGTCTATAATACATCCAAGAATTCATCCGTGTGAAATGCCACAAAGTTTGTATGAGTTTTAATTTTTTTTTTTACAATATCAACTCTGTCAAAAAAAAAATTTAATCCTTTAAATGATACGACGTTTTTAATGCACCTATATCTATGTGCGTTGTAGTTGTTGACATGATTTATCAATTATTAAGATATATAATGCACATTTTTGTTCCAGAAGTAACACCAAAAATAAGAAAATTTTGCAAATGAACATTAAAAAAGTTGGAATGTTATACACTAAAGGATCATGTGAAGACGAGAACCCTTGAAAGTGTGTGAGAGTGTCTTGGTTTGAGATTCTTACAAGCCAACATGTAGACATCAACCATGGGTTGAAGGTTACTACAAATTTCAAGAATTAGCAATTGGTACCAATTGAGTAAATAAAATTTAATAGCTATACCTTTCAGAATTTTAATATTTTAACCAAATCTTCTGTATTAAATATTTTGTATCGCATCAAAATATTAATTATTTTTCTGTTATTTTTAATAATTTTTTAAATCTTTTCTTAATTAAAATACAAATTTTTTTGAAAGGTATAACTATTAAATTTTGCTAACAAAAATGCTAACTGGGAGTTAACGTTTGGCTAATACTTTCTATTTTGAAAGGTATGGCTGATAATTTTAAAGTTTGAAAGATTTGGTTAATAAATTGTATTTACTCTATTGTATAAGATACTAAATTCGAGTGTCTTGATAGACAAATTTTGACATAAGATCCTCAGCAGAGATTTAATGAACATTCACGTAAAAATGAGTCAAGATTAGAAAATTTGATCATCGTAAGGAGTATGGCGTGTGTCAAGTTTCACTTGGGATAAACACATTTTATCCAATAATCAAGTATTTCTATCCAATAATCTGGACTCTTAATAATTGTTTGAGAGTTTGTCCTAACTCGAGAAACAAGAATTGTTATATGTTTTATAATATTAGAAATTTGAGTGGTTTGGTTGACAAACTTTTGTATATATTCTAAATGTAACGTGATAAACCTTTAAAATATGATTTATGATTGGAGAATCGAAACTTATGAACATCATAAGTGGCCGTGCTAAATATTGAGAATTTTTAATATGAACATATAACATAATGACTTATGAAGTGTGGGCATAAAAAAGTTAGAAGATTAAAAAATTTTAAACATATAGATAACTTAATTTCTATAAATGATGAAATGAAATTTTCCGGCCAACGAGCCGGGTAAAAAACTAGTAAATATAAGGGAATGTCAGCATAAAATTTCCGACACGTCAGCCTCTCCTGTTTAAACCGCATGATGCGGAGGGATGGATTTGTCAATTCCGTATCTGTACTGTTCGCCAAAAATTGTTGGCCTAATTGCTTTTTTTATTGAGCACGTAAGAACTATTTAAATTCTTTGGTTTTTACTTTTTACAATCCCACTACTCACGTCCTCCGCATCTTTTTTATTCAAATTCCTGTTATTATTTTTTGGTGGAAGTCATCTAACAATAAAATGAATTATTTTTTTCTATTTTTTCAGTTCCTCTTTTCATTTAATTTGGTACTACACCATAAGAGATTGATCCAAACCCGTGTTTGTAAAATTGTATAGTACGGCGGTCGGATCGAAAAAAAAATCTTTAACGAAAGTCTGATTGTTAATTAATTTTTAACGATGTGAATCAGTTGAACCACGGTTAAATCATAATTTCACATAAAATATCATGCCGACTTTTTCGGTACAAACCTTAGTACAATTTTACAACCTTTATATATAAAAAAAAGGTTTCACGTAGAATACCATAATCTTTTCACTAAGACCGACACTTTTATCATGTATATTATTGAATCCAATTCTTTTTTCTTAAGAAACTCGGTCATGGGTAGGTTAATTAGATATGGATTTCAATAAAAATTGGGGTTTATTGATAGGGCAAAAGTGTAATGCCAATTCCTATCTTGTAGTAAAACCGGAAAGTCCGGGTATCGTCTCTCAGGGACTGGTACAACCTTATGATTTATCAATTCTATGGAGCAAACTATAGGTGGAAATGGTTTGAGTGATGAATAATTATCTAATGGCAAAATAATTAAACAAAACAAGCAAATTAAAATGGCTGGGAGAAATTCAATGGGAGAAAGCTCTGGGAGAAACACCGGGATTCACTACCTATCCTATCCAGATTAATTCACATATTCCAATCAATTTAATCCAACTCTCTACAGCCAGGATATCACGAACGTGTTAGCTATCCCTGTCGGGAATTACTACGTACTAAACGATTAAATCAAATCCTACTGTCGTAGCTCAATGACTTAATTATTTAGCCTGAAGATCGATATCCTATTTAAGACCGCATAGCACCTTATTTAATCCACTGTCGCTTCGATAAGTTACTATGTCACACGAAATATGTTCAGTTATTAGGGTTCACTGTCGCTAATAACCTAATTAACAACAGATCGATGTATTGGTGGCCAGTCAACACAAAGCATTAAGTAATTCCATGCAATAGAGATTGAAAGAAAAGAAATATGAATTAATCCATCAAATTCAGAAATAGCTACATCCTATAATGTTTCCCCCCAAAAATTGGAGTTTAGTTCAGAACGAAAATAAAACACACAATCATGTTCATAATCATCATGTTACGAAGCAAAGCAAAAGAAAACAAATACTGATAATGGCTTCCCGTTGCTCCGCGCGTTCCAATTATTCCCTCTCGTCGCCCGCAATTAATTCCGGTCACAGCTGCTTCTACTCTATGGCTGCGCGGGACTGCTATTTCTTTTTCCCAAAAGAGAATTTTCGTTCCGTTCTAGAAATTGTCCCCAACCGCCTTTTTTCTTTTTCCCCAAAATAATCTCGCCCAAACTTTCTTTTCCCCAAAGAGAAATTCGCCTCCTCTGCTGCCTTTCTTTTCCCTTTTTGAATTCTGTTCCCCTCCAATTCCCCTCAAATAATAATAATAGGCCAATACTATAGTGCTGCTATTAAAAGTGTGGTACCGGTGACGCAGAATTTGATTGGTCCAAGTAGAACTGATGTGGCATTGGTTGGGTGTAATAACACTTGTGCAAACCAGTGGCCCATGAGAACGGACCTAACTGTTAGGTTACTAAACGGACGGAAAAGACTCACAGCCATTTTGCACTTTTTTACAATCAATTCAGTTAAAATTAATTTATTTTAATTGTATTTGTTTTTCTGCCAACAGAAAAATCGAAGGAATAGGCAAACCAGAGGTTCGTCGTCTTCCTCGATTTCGGGCTCCTTCTCCGGCGAACTTCATCGTCGCCGATCCAAACTCGAGTCTGAACCTTACGCCGCCAGTAAACCACCTTATTCCTCCTCATATTCATTCTCATAAACAAAAAGACCAATCCCTGGGTCCGAGCGGCCCTCTGTCTCGGTCGAGGTATTCTGTCGGCACCGTTCAAGATGATCCGGAGACCGTAGCCAAAGGAAGGATACCCTCCCTCTGTATCGCCCCCGTTGCTCTTCGAGCCCGTCACTGTTGGAATTGAAGAAACTGAAACTGAAGTTTGTTGGAGGGGCGTAGTGACTCTCCACAACGATTGCACCCGGTTCCAGCCTTCCAGGTAATTCGAGCGTTAGTAGGTGGAGCAACTAGGACAATGATTCAGTTCATTTTGCTCCAGCATTGGTTTTAGTTCTCTATTGCTCTTAACTTTTAAGTTAGAAATGCTGCAATGGGAGCATTGCTGCGTGTTATTCCATACTAATGGATCTTCTTTATTACCGAGCAGCAGAGTTCATTGCTCTGTTAAGAGAAGGAATTAGAGTGCCATAAGGATCGCAGACACCATGGAATAACTCCTTTTTGTTGTCAGTTTTTTTGATTATTCGGACACTAGAGAGTGTCGCTCCATGCTTCATGATCTATTGATGTGATGCAGAGATAGCCTACATGGAAATGGAACGAATTGAGTTTGTGCTTCTTTCCTGAAATGGTATATTAGTGCCGATGAAGTTGAACAACAATGATAGAGCTCTTTGCATTACTAATAATATGTAGTATCAAGTATGAACTTTACGGTGAATGATTGCCATGCTTTCCCTCTCTACAGACTAGTTTGGAATTCAAGTAGAATGCCTGTCAGTTTCAGGAATTTGAGGCTTGCGAACAACTATAGAGAACCGTGTTGCGGCCATTGTTGCCTTATTTACCAAGACAGTAATTCGTACTTTTGCCTTATTTTCACAATAAGCTGTTCGCTCTTCTTCACTTCCCTGCAGAAATTCGTGTTCTTACTTCAGCAACGCTCAGTCATTTGTTCTCATAAAATCCTTGTGCACGGCATTCTGAAGAGACCATCGGTCGACTTCGAAGACAAACTCACTGTTTCGATGCTAGAGTTTGATGATTTTACGAACCAAACATCGATCAACTTCAAACATAAACTCAGCTCATTCTAGACTTGAGAATATTTGGCGTCTTTTTGCTGTTTCTTCTCTATCTTGATGTATCTGAAAAATGCTAAGGCATATGATCTGATAGTTATTCTTTGTTGATATGTACAACACAATATTTCTATTGTGCACACTCCAATCACGATTGCTAAGTTCACATGAAAGCCTAAATGTGATCATGGAGAAAGAAAGCATATAGTTATTCCTAATATTCACATAAAATTATGGGTTAGCTTGAGCTGTGAAAGGAGAAAGCATCAAATAAATCGATTTCTCATCACAAGAACATCAGGTATAATATAATGATCGTCAGGTATTCAGGTCCTCCACACAGGCTGAAACTTATAGAAATGTGATGAGATATTTACACTTAAAATATAATCAGTTTTAGCCGTCTTAGTGAAAGAGTTGAGTTTAAATCCTGGTTATTAGGTTCACTTTTCTGCATTTGTGAGTCAATGGCTTGCATTTTCAAAAACAGGATCCCTAGCATTCCACCCTAACGAAAGAGCGGGAGAAGAGATAAATTTTTTGTTGAATGAAGCCTGTTTAAAGTAAAGGAGAATTGGATTAATGGAAATGAATGAACTACTGCAAAGCCACTCTCCATGTAACATTGACTTATGGGACAAAGTATAGCTACACAATAAATCCAACTTATTGGAATTCTATTAGTACAAAGCACTTGAACTTGTACGAACAAGGAATTGGTCTAGTGGTAATACCACTAGCTTAGAACCTGTAAGTCCCAGGTAACCGACCAAATTAGCGCATCCATACTGTCAAGGAGGTTACTGATTGGTATAAATCGAGTGTCATGTTTTTCCTATCGATTGTGACTACTGGTGAAAGCTACTCAAAATTGATACATAAATGAGATCATTATGCTTTTCATACTAGAGCAGTTCATCCGAAAAGCTGCAAACGTAAAGAAACCAAGAAACTATCAGATCCCAGGAAAATAGCTAACAGTGTCCATATTACACACTTAACCATAAGGGTTCATCTTGATAATCTCATCACATCTTCACTCGACTCATAAGCAAGCTTTCTATTACTCTAAACAAATTGCAAGTTTTCTCTCCTTCAGAAATGAAAAACAAGTGAAAGGTAATGCCAACATGAAGGTTCCTAATGTCATATTCAAGGTTTTCAAACATCCTACACGTGATTGTATCTACAGAATCTGGGCAACATTTCTTGTCTTAACCGGCTGAAGAAGCATATGTGGCAGTGGAAGATCACAGTAATCAAACTTTGAAAACTCCTGCACAAAAGATCGGCCAGAAATACATATATAAGAGTCTTACTATCTTATGTGTGATAGTAACTACACCAATTTCATGCCTTTCTCTAGTAAACATAAGAAAGAAAAGCATAAGAGCATAGAAAGAGGGAGAAATACAGTAGCAGAACAGGTACATAACAATCTCCTATTCTGAATTCGTTGGGGAAAGTCGCTATGCACCTCCAACGGCGTGTTCCCTAATTTACTTTGTAAATGTATACAGAAGGCCAAAGCGATCAGATTAGCACAGGTCAATCTCGATTCCAATCTATGAAATTTCCCCCAATTCCAATGGATCCTTAAGAAATCAATGCAATGGACCGAGAAAACACTATGATTGACCAAATAGAATGACTGGGCCACAAGGAACCATGATCAGGGGTTCAGTCTGTTCCCAAATCATAGGGACGTATAAAAAATAAAGAAAAAATGGGAGCAATAGCATACAGAGAACATCCAATTCAGTTTGATTTTTAGTTGATCCAAAGCTGTTTTTGATCCTACAACTACTAATCTACGAGTAAGCTTGATACATGGGGTAGACACGAAAAAGAACACTGCTTGAACAGGTCCACAAGTAGAAAAGCTGTATCTTTCATTAACTACCAAAAAGAAATAGACAGAGAAACAATAACAGGAACAAAATACAAACTCCCATACTGCTCAATAAAAACAGAAATAAGGAAAACAAGAACACAACCTCCCATTGCATAATCTGTGGCATACAAGTTCAGATACCATAGGGAATTAAAAAGACCCTAAATGTTCTACATTCACAAATACCTGGGAACCATTTTGATTAGGTCGGAGAATTTGTTCCACAACTCAACAAACTTGGTTTCGTCGATTTAATAAGGGACGACACTAACCGAGGGGGATGACACAGAGGCTGGCCGACTCTCTTCTTCATTTACCAGGGCTCGACTGGTACTATGGTGGCGGCGCTCCTCGACGAAGACAGAGAGATGGTCATGACACGGGTTTCTTTGCCCTTGTGTTACAGAAAGAACAAGGAAGGAGACGGAGAATAATTTCAGTGGAGCCATTTGGTATATCCTGAGATTGGATGGACAACGGAGGTCCTTCTCCAGAGTCTGCCGGAGACAGGGGATCGACGACGAACGCCTTATTTTCTTTCGTGTTTCTTTTCCATGGTTTCTAGGGGAAAAACAAATAAAAGCGGATCGAATTAATGGAAGAAACCAAATACAGAAAACGCAGGAGACGGAAAGAATTCCGTTTATTTGGTCAAGTAGCGGTTCTGGCCAGTTCTAATCGGTCATTAGGTTTTAGGCTCGAATTAAATAAAGCAGCCCATGCCACATCAGTTCTACGTGGACCAATCAGATTCTGCATTACCGGTGCCGCACTTTTTATAGCGGCACCGTAGCGTTGGCCATAATAATAATAATCCTCCTCTCCCCAATCCTCCAAGCTTCCCGGTCCGCCCAAAAACCAGCTGGGCCTTGAGCCCAGCTCCGTGTCCCAAGCCCAACATAATCAACAGCCCGCCATTAATCTCCCTCCAGCTGCTCCTTCCAGGCCCACATGTTATTTAGTTAGTGATTCGAAAATTGTTTGCATGTTCAACTTCTTTTTCGTGTTTTCTTCACCTGTAATACATCAAACTTATGGCACTAGGCATTAATGGTTTTTCAACCATTCCCGGGTTAGCGAGCCCTAAAATAGCACCAATCGGTTTAAACATACTATAGGATAATCTCAAAAAGTTCAAGAATCAAATATATTAAAGCCGATTATCACTTATTTCACCAAAAAAAATTGGGGTTTCAATAAAAATAAACTTATTGCATTCTTTATAGATAATACAGTTCGTTTGGAAGTTGTGATTGTTATAGTTTTGTTTATTAAATACATGTTTTTAATATAATATATTATCTTTTATTAAAAAAGAGAATCTATTAAAAAAATGATAAAGAGGGAAACATAAAAATGTGTTTATTGATAAAGGAAGAATATACCACGCACCAGGACACAAAAGAATTTTTTATTAAGAGGTTTGGAAGTCGAAGGTTAGTTTTCAAATCATGAGGAGGATTAGCAACATATTAATTTTCTCTTATATTACGGAAGCCAACTTACATTCCAGGACTAGTGCTCCGGGAGGCGATCCTTTGGTGCTTAAGTATGGGGCTTTCGGCAGTTCGCTTTGAAGGGGATGCTAAGGTGGTGATCGACAAGCTTTTGCAGGCAGATACCAGGGATAGCCGAATGGATGCGATTCTGGAGGAGGTTATAGGGTACCTTTCGGTGCATCGTGGTTTCAGTGTGCGATTTGTAGGTCGTAGGAACAATCGGGTGGCCCATAAGGTGGCCAGGAAAGCCCTTTTATTGTACTCGGCTGCAAGTCGCTGTTTTGATTTCAATGGCTGACTTCGAGCCAGGATGTAACTATCATTTTTATCAATATATCTGATTATCTTTTGTTAAAAAAAACTTACATTCCAGGACTAAACTTTAGCCTACATTGTTTCGTTATTAATTTTTTGTTTTGAAATTATAATTTATACTTAATTTTGTTGCTTTATATTTTCACTAAATTGTGGAGTTCCATTAATTTTTATATAATTATAATTACAGAAATTTTAAAATATTACCATAAAGACACATATATAATTAACTAGAACATATAATTATCCGGCCGACCGGCCGGGGCCGCAATCTAGTTCTCTTATATCTTTAATATTATTCAAGAATATTCTTAAGGCCCAAATACTAATTATTCTAGGTTGAAAGGGGATTCTAGTCATCCAAAAAACAAAGAAGGAGATTCCGATCTCCCTCCTCAATCGCTCCGCCTGAAAGGCGATTCCAGTCTCCTTCACTCGATTCGGCTGAAGAGGCGATTCTCCGGTCTTCCTCGCTCACTCCAGTTGAAGAGGAGATTTCCCGGCCTTCCTCGCTCACTCCGGCTGAAGAGCCAATTCCTCCAAGTCTTCATCGCTCACTACGACTGAAGAGGCCATTCCCCGGTCTTCCTCGCTCACTCCTGCTGAAAGGTGATACTCTGATTTTCTTTACTCGCTCGCTCGCTCGCTCTTTTCTTCCCTCGCTTGCGCTCTCCCTCTCTTGCGTGAGTGAGCTCCAATTAGGTTTCTTAGGGTTTGTAGTGCGGTCGCCGCTGCCGGCTGCATGCAGTAGTGAGGTTATTGATGGTGAAGAGGAGTGATGTGGTTGTGATTGATTTGCAGCGACAGTGTTGAGCGGAGGAGGGATGCCGGCGGCGGGAAGAGGAAGGAAGGAGAGTGGAGGTGCTGATGGATGAGACATAGGAATCGATAGCCCAATTGCTTCAATTTCCGCTTTGTGTGCAGTAGAATGGTTTACTTACGGAGTTATACACAGGAGAAGAGTCCGTTAGTTGCTCATGATTTGGGGTAGGTGTGATTATTTCCTTTGTATCCTCGTAATTGGTTTTTATTTATGGTTATATCATTTGTGGCAATGTCTCTGTTTTCGATATTCAAAGACACAATTTCTATCAAGATTATTTGTTGGGGTAACTTTTGAGATGTATAACTATTGTGAACGTGATAAGCTGTGCAGGTGGAAGGCAAGGCTGTCGGTGACCTAGGGAGGATTCCTGATGGTGCACAGGGGAGGTGAGAAATAACTCAAGCTCTTGCTGTTCTTAATATGTATCATGCTGGATCGAGTAGTAGAAATGTAGAATGTGAACATTTTAGGGAGTTCTGATGACAGGTCTATTTTTCTTGAGGCAGGTAAACAAACCCATTCTGCCACAGGCTTCTGGTGAGTTCTCAATGGCAACTAGGGTTACAATTGTTGCTGCATCATTAATCACAGAAAGTGACTGCTAATTCCATTTCATTTGACGATACGTACTGGTTAACATGTGGCTGATGAAAAATTGGGATGCAGAGCCTATACATGGGGTGAAATTTCAGTCCCCTACTCCTTGCTCATTAGCTTTCTACTTGAGTGCATACTCAGTTGAAGTAAGCCTACTTTTGCATTAACCCTTTGCTTCATTATTATATGAACAAGGTTTAGTTGAAAGCTTAATCATTTAAGTTTAGTGTTACATATAGCTTCCGTATGAGATGGAAGAGGCATGCATTTCTGGTAGCCAGTTGCATCTTGATCGTGAAGGCAGTCGTCCAATTAGCTTTCTTCAGACACATGCATTTCTGGCAGCCAGTTTGCCACTGCTTTCACGTGCTTCTTCTTAGCTATCATTGCACTCTTCAAGGTTCAAACAAATCCCTTAACAAAAATAAACTTCCCAAATGGGTTTGCTTTGTCGCTAGTTATATGTAAGTTAACTTCTGGTGCAATACTTTTGATTTTGTTACATTGCAGGACATACCTGACCTGGATGGACACATGGACTTCATAATCCAATCTTTCACTGTCAAGTTGGGACAAGAAAAAGTAAGGTTTTGGTAGAGAATCAATACAAGTTGCAGTGTTTGATTATGTCAAAAAAATTATCCTGGGAATGGTTGTTATACTGTCCGGCTACTGACTTTCAGAAACACCATGGCGGCGTGTGCAGTTTGGGTACCGTCCTGCATCAAACCCATCGAGGTGGCGCTTCTCAGCCGCTTGAATCGTTCTTCCTACCTTCGTCTTCTTCTCCTTCTTTCCTCGGTAAATCCCCTCCCCTATCTATGGTCACGGGACTGGATGTTGACGGTCTCTACTGCCAAATCTTTCTTTCAAATTTTTTTTATGCTTTGGTTAATGGCTTCCGGTTCTGTTTTTACTATGCTAGTTGATTAAGAAGACGATATCTTTCCGTTTTTGGTCAACGCAAGATCCTAATCCTGTTTGTAAGTGTGTTTCTCTGTGTTATTCCAGTTAATAGCAGACTCCACTTGACTGAAATTATTTTGGTCTTCCTTGTTCTGGCTCTGTGCAAACCTTTTTTATATATAATCAACATACTTGTGCCTACTGAGTGTTAGATGATGATGCTTGAGATATTCCTCTCCTGACACATGGAAACGCTTCATAAGTAGTTAAACATGATGATTCTTGTGCGTAGTGGTGGAAAATACAGTCGGTAAATTTTTATTTTCCTTCCAATGACATAAGAATTAGTTGTTAATTCAGCAGAACTGTATTTTCAAGTACCTTTAAAGTGAATTTTCTTGTTTTATGCAGGTTTGGATTGCAGAATATGGGGTTCATTGGAATCGACGAGCTCCGAGAAGAGCATGGTCATTCCCATGAGAGTAGCGCTGCTTAAGGGAGTCCTCTTCTTCGTGTAATCAAGTGAGTCTGACTATTGAACCTACTTAGATTTCTTTGTTTGAGCATATCTAATTTTCTGAGATGATAGGAAATGAATTTTCTGCATAACTCGTTTGCAAATAAAAGCCTCCCGAGTTCCAGTATTATGGTGCTTGTATTATTGGCCAATTGCTCTCTAGGTTCCAGTACTTATCATTACTTTACATTTAGTGGTTGAAGCTACACTTCTTGGTTTGTGTTGCAAGTTGTGACAAAGAAATGCATGGTTTTATACTGTTATTATAATAGTCTAGAGTGTATGACATTTCAGATTATGATTGTATGACATTTCAGATTATCATAGATTTGTGGTGGCTTGAAGTTGAGTGTCTATTGCTCTGAGATTCAATGGCAATTCAGTTTAGCAGTATTCAGTGGCAATTCAATTATATAATTGGTTTCTTATCCTGCACTTTCCTTTGTAACCAAACAAAATGAATAATGAATATTTATGTCTCTTTGTTTCTGCATATCCCAATCCAAGGTTCTCGGAAGCTTCTCAGTTTCTGCAGATATCTTCACAGGCTATATTCCTTATTTGTAGGTTTCTTACCATCTTCGAGGTTTCATAGTTACAAAGTAATCAGACTTTCAGTTTTATGTGTGATCCTCTCTATATGACCAGAATGTTGAGCTGGTTGTTGTTAGAAAATAGGCCCATCAGTTATATCAGAATGTTTGAATAGTGACCAGAATATCATATTTGTAACGAAAGTGTTATTGCTAATGAGGCACCTCTCTTTAGTGACGGTGCATTTGTAAACAATGATGATTTTACAATCATATAATGACCAGAATTACAGCATTTGTAACCAGAGTGTCGTTACTAATGAAACACATTTCTTAAGAATAAAACTTTAGTGAC